GAATAAAAATATGTCATTTACCGAATGAAAATATTTTTTTGTCAAATTATGCTACTTTTCGGCAACCATATTGGAGTCCATATTTTAGAAATTTTAAATTGAACTGGCACGAAATTATAATCTCTCGATTAAAAGGAATGTATCCTTCAAGCGGAGAAGTGTACGAAGCAGCTCGAATAATTTGCTGCAATGTTGTTTTTGTTATTAATTGTACAGGAAATTAACCGCAACCATAAACGATCAATCAGGCCTCTTTCTTCTAAAACTCTACCAATCAGTTGAGAGTATGAGCACGTGCTTACACGGTGTAAGACATTCTTAGACGGTGAATGAAATAATAGTCCTGTGAGTCTCGATATGTTGTAACCTGACAAGGGGTGGTATCAAGGATTCGGGGAACGTCAGGGTTAGGGTGGGCTAACCTCTCGAAGCTCTAAATAGCAAATATCGCATTTGTCGTCGTTTAATTCCGCTGCGGCTGAATTAAATCCCCAGATGCTTGAGTCCATAGTTTAGAGGTTTTAAATTGAAGCACGAGATTATAATCTGTCGATTATATTTACGTAGCTAGAGTTCACATGAACGTCGAAGCTCGAATAATTAGCTGCAATGTCGTTTTTGTTATTAAATGTACAAGAAATTAACCGTGACCATAAAGCATCCAATCAGGCCTCTTTCTTCTAAAACTCTACCAATCAGTTGAGAGTATCATAACGAGCCAGACGTTATGCAGAATTAAAAGAAACTCAAATGCAGAATTAAAAGAAACTGACCTGTCGGCGACTATTATTGTTTGCATAGTTTTTTCTCGTGGACGGTTTCCCGCATTTTTCGATAGTGTCGAACTTGACATATCTATAAAAAGATAACCAATAGAAATGAAAGAAAATGTTGACACGCTTTGAGAGATTGATGCTTTGTGATTAACACTGCACAGTAATTTTGCATCAATGATACAGTTAGCTCATTCAAAATCGTACCTCATCATACAGTCTCCACAGAATCTATGTTCACAAGTTGTCTGCACTAAGGGCTCTCGAAGCTCTAAATAGCAAATAGCGCATTTGTCGTCGCTTAATTCCTCTGCGGCTGAACTAAATCCACGGATGCTTGAAGCTCTGTTCCTATTGGAGTCCATATTTTAGAGGTTTAAATTGACGCACGAGATTATAATCTCTCGATTGATATGAATATATACTCCAAGCGGAGCAGTGCACGTAGCTTGAGTGCACGCGAACGGTGCGTAGCTTTACCGCAGCGAAATTAAAGTTGTTTTTGGGATTTATACGAATATATATGGGATTTTAATTTGTACGAAAACATAACACGTGCATGACAATCGGTGACCATCCAATCGTCTACCTTTTATCTGAGAAGCTACCAATAAGATCAGCATGTAATTAACCAAACAATCCCAAAATGTATTTTTAGAGAGCGAATCGAACGTGGGTGAATCTTGTGACGTTACTTTAAAAAACAATTTTAATTATTTTTATAGGTCGACAGATCATCACATTGTTTTAATGCATCGCGGCGTTGTCGAATTCAGTTCCCAGTTATTTCTTCTTCTC